CACCACCATGACCACCATCACCATCATCACCACCACCAACACCACCATCACCACCATCATCACCATCACCACCATCACCACCACCACCACCACCACCATCACCACCATCACCACCATCACCATCACCACCATCACCATCACCACCATCACCACCATCACCACCATCACCACCATCACCACCATCACCACCATCACCTGCTTCTAGAGATGTCAGCTGGGGCCCACATCACCATGGCAGAAGCTGCCTCTCCATCTCTGCCGGCACGACCCAGAGCCTGAAACAACAACAACAACTACTAGTTAGTAAACTAACTAGTACACTAACTAGTACACTAACTAGTACACTAGTACACTAACTAGTACACTAACTAGTATAACTACGCACCCACCCACTCACTCACTCAGTCAGTCACTCAGTCACTCACGCACTCACTCACTCAGTCACTCACTCACTCATTCACTAACCCACCCACTCACTCACTCACACACTCACTCACTCACTCAACCACTCACTCACTCACCCACCCACCCCCCCACTCACCCACTCACCCCCCCACTCACCCACTCACTCACTCACCCACTCACCCACCCACTCACCCACCCACTCACCCACTGACCCACTCACTCACCCACCCACTCACCCACTCACCCACCCACCCACCCACTCACTCACTCACTCAACCACTCACTCACTCACCCACCCACCCCCCCACTCACCCACTCACCCCCCCACTCACCCACTCACTCACTCACCCACTCACCCACCCACTCACCCACCCACTCACCCACTCACCCACTCACTCACCCACCCACTCACCCACTCACCCACCCACCCACTCACTCACTCACTCACCCACCCACCCACTCACTCACTCACCCACCCACCCACCCACCCACTCACCCACTCACTCACCCACTCACCCACTCACCCACCCACCCACTCACTCACCCACTCACCCACCCACTCACCCACTCACCCACCCACTCACCCACTCACCCACTCACTCACCCACCCACTCACCCACTCACCCACCCACCCACCCACTCACCCACTCACCCACCCACCCACTCACCCACCCACTCACTCACTCACTCACCCACTCACTCACCCACGCACCCACCCACCCACTCACCCACTCACCCACCCACCCACCCACTCACTCACCCACTCACCCACTCACTCACCCACTCACCCACCCACCCACTCACCCACTCACCCACTCACTCACCCACCCACCCCCCCACTCACCCACTCACCCCCCCACTCACCCACTCACTCACTCACCCACTCACCCACCCACTCACCCACCCACTCACCCACTCACCCACTCACTCACCCACCCACTCACCCACTCACCCACCCACCCACTCACTCACTCACCCACCCACCCACTCACTCACTCACTCACTCACTCACTCACCCACCCACCCACCCACCCACTCACCCACTCACTCACCCACTCACCCACTCACTCACCCACCCACCCACTCACTCACCACTCACCCACCCACTCACCCACTCACCCACCCACTCACCCACTCACCCACTCACTCACCCACCCACTCACCCACTCACCCACCCACCCACTCACCCACTCACCCACCCACCCACTCACCCACCCACTCACTCACTCACTCACCCACTCACTCACCCACGCACCCACCCACCCACTCACCCACTCACCCACCCACCCACCCACTCACTTACCCACTCACCCACTCACTCACCCACTCACCCACCCACCCACTCACCCACTCACCCACTCACTCACCCACCCACCCACTCACTCACTCACCCACTCACCCACTCACCCACCAACCTACCCACTCACTCACTCACCCACCCACCCACTCACCCACTCACCCACTCACCCACCCACTCACCCAGTCACCCACCCACTCACTCACTCACCCACCCACTCACCCAGTCACCCACCCACTCACTCACCCACCCACCCACCCACTCACCCACCCACCCACCCACTCACTCACTCACTCACCCACCCACTCACCCAGTCACCCACTCACTCACTCACCCACCCACCCACTCACCACTCACTCACCCCACTCACTCACCCACTCACCCACCCACCCACTCACCCACTCACTCACCCACTCACTCACCCACCCACTCACCCACTCACCCACTCACTCACCCACTCACTCCCACCACTCACTCACCCACTCACTCACTCACCCACTCACTCACCCACTCACCCACCCACTCACCACTCACCCACCCACTCACCCACCCACCCACTCACTCACCCACTCACTCACCCACCCACTCACCCACTCCCCCACTCACTCACCCACTCACTCACCCACTCACTCACCCACTCATTCACCCACCCACTCACCCAGTCACCCACCTCACTCACTCACCCACCCACCCACTCACCCACTCACTCACCCACCCACCCACTCACCCACTCACTCACTCACCCACCCACCCACTCACCCACTCACCCACCCACTCACCCACCCACTCACCCACTCACACCACCCACTCACCCACCCACCCACTCACTCACCCACTCACTCACTCACCCACCCACTCACCCACTCACCCACTCACCCACCCACCCACTCACTCACCCACTCACCCACTCACTCACCCACCCCCCACCCACTCACTCACTCACTCACCCACTCACCCACCCACTCACTCACTCACTCACCCACTCACCCACCCACTCACCCACCCACTCACCCACTCACTCACCCACTCACCCACCCACTCACCCCACTCACCCACTCACTCACCCACCCACTCAACCCACTCACCCACTCACCCACCACTCACCCACTCACCCACTCACTCACCACCTACTCACCCACTCACCCACTCACTCACCCACTCACTCACCCACCCACCCACCCACTCACTCACTCACCCACCCACCGACCTCACTCACTCACCCACCCACCCACTCACTCACTCACCCACCCACCCACTCACTCACTCATCATCACTCACCCACTCACACACCACCACCACTCACCACCCCACCCACTACCCACTCACTCACCCACTCACTCACCCACTCACCCACCCACTCACCCACTCACCCACCCACTCACCCACTCACTCACCCACTCACCCACCCACTCACCCACTCACTCACCCACTCACCCACCCACTCACCCACTCACCCACTCACTCACCAGGCAGATGCTGTCCATGTCTGGAGGAGCTCCGATGACAATCACCTTCCTGATGTCCGGCTTGGTGATCTCTATCACGCCACGGATCGTAGCCACTACACACTGAGGGTGAGAGGGTGAGTGGGTGAGTGAGTGGGTGGGTGAGTGGGTGACTAAGTGACTGAGTGAGTGATTGAGTGACTGGGTGAGTGACTGAGTGACTGACTGAGTGACTGACTGAGTGACTGAGTGAGTGAGTGAGCGACTGAGTGAGTGATTGAGTGACTGGGTGAGTGACTGAGTGACTGAGTGAGTGACTGACTGAGTGACTGAGTGAGTAACTGACTGACTGAGTGACTGAGTGACTGAGTATCTGACTGACTGAGTGAGTTGGTGAGTGAGTTGGTGAGTGAGTGGGTGGGTGGGTGAGTGGGTGAGTGAGTGAGTGAGTGGGTGAGTGGGTGAGTGGGTGAGTGGGTGGGTTAGTGAGTGAGTGGGTGAGTGGGTGAATGGGTGGGTGAGTGGGTGAGAGAGTGAGTGAGTGAGTGGGTGGGTTAGTGAGTGAGTGGGTGAGTGACTGAGTGAGTGACTAAGTGAGTGACTGAGTGAGTAACTGACTGACTGAGTGACTGAGTGACTGAGTAACTGAGTAACTGACTGACTGACTGAGTGAGTTGGTGAGTTGGTGAGTGAGTTGGTGAGTGAGTGAGTGGGTGAGTGAGTGGGTGAGTGGGTGGGTGAGTGGGTGGGTGAGTGAGTGAGTGGGTGAGTGAGTGGGTGGGTGGGTGAGTGAGTGAGTGGGTGAATGGGTGGGTGAGTGGGTGAGAGAGTGAGTGAGTGAGTGGGTGGGTTAGTGAGTGAGTGGGTGAGTGACTGAGTGAGTGACTAAGTGAGTGACTGAGTGAGTAACTGACTGACTGAGTGACTGAGTGACTGAGTAACTGAGTAACTGACTGACTGACTGAGTGAGTTGGTGAGTTGGTGAGTGAGTTGGTGAGTGAGTGAGTGAGTGGGTGAGTGAGTGGGTGAGTGAGTGAGTGGGTGAGTGAGTGGGTGGGTGGGTGAGTGAGTGAGTGGGTGAGTGAGTGAGTGAGTGAGTGAGTTACTGAGTGACTGAATGAGTGACTGAGTGAGTGACTGACTAACTGAGTGACTGACTGACTGAGTGGGTGAGTGAGTTGGTGAGTGACTGACTGACTGAGTGAGTTGATGAGTGAGTTGGTGAGTGAGTTGGTGAGTGAGTTGGTGAGTGAGTTGGTGAGTGAGTTGGTGAGTGAGCTGGTGAGTAGTTCCTCACCTCTGTGACCCCGTGATCGAAGCGACACCGAGTCTGAGCCCTCTGCCACCCACTGAGAGTCTCCGTGTAGAGTTCACAGGTCACCCCAAGTCGCCTCACCACTAGGTGAGTGAGTGGGTGAGTGGGTGAGTGGGTGGGTGAGTGGGTGAGTGAGTGGGTGAGTGAGTGAGTGGTTGAGTGGGTGGGTGGGTGAGTGGGTGAGTGGGTGGGTGAGTGGGTGAGTGGGTGGGTGAGTGAGTGAGTGAGTGACTGAGTGAGTGACTGACTGAGTGAGTGAGTGAGTGACTGACTGACTGACTGAGTGACTGACTGAGTGACTGACTAACTAACTGACTGACTGAGTGACTGACTGAGTGATTGACTGACTGACTGAGTTGGTGAGTAGTTCCTCACCTCTGTGACCCCGTGATCGAAGCGACACCGAGTCTGAGCCCTCTGCCACCCGCTGAGGGTCTCCGTGTAGAGTTCACAGGTCACCCCAAGTCGCCTCACCACCAGGTGAGTGAGTGGGTGAGTGGGTGGGTGGGTGGGTGAGTGAGTGGTTGAGTGAGTGAGTGAGTGGGTGAGTGGGTGGGTGAGTGAGTGGGTGAGTGAGTGGGTGAGTGGGTGAGTGAGTGGGTGAGTGGGTGAGTGAGTGAGTGAGTGGGTGGGTGGGTGAGTGGGTGGGTGGGTGAGTGAGTGAGTGGGTGAGTGGGTGAGTGGGTGGGTGAGTGGGTGAGTGAGTGGGTGAGTGAGTGAGTGAGTGGGTGAGTGGGTGGGTGGGTGAGTGGGTGAGTGGGTGGGTGAGTGGGTGAGTGGGTGGGTGGGTGAGTGGGTGAGTGAGTTGGTGAGTGAGTTGGTGAGTGAGTTGGTGAGTGAGTTGGTGAGTAGTTGCTCACCTCTGTGACCCCGTGATCGAAGCGACACCGAGTCTGAGCCCTCTGCCACCCGCTGAGGGTCTCCGTGTAGAGTTCACAGGTCACCCCAAGTCGCCTCACCACCAGGTGAGTGAGTGGGTGAGTGGGTGGGTGAGTGAGTGGTTGAGTGGGTGGGTGAGTGGATGAGTGAGTGGGTGGGTGGGTGGGTGAGTGGGTGAGTGAGTGAGTGAGTGAGAGGGTGAGTGGGTGGGTGGGTGAGTGAGTGAGTGAGTGAGTGGGTGGGTGAGTGGGTGGGTGGGTGGGTGAGTGACTGAGTGACTGACTGAGTGACTGAGTGAGTGAATGACTGAGTGACTGAGTGAGTGACTGACTGACTGACTGAGTGACTGACTGAGTGACTGACTAACTAACTGACTGACTGAGTGACTGACTGAGTGATTGACTGACTGACTGAGTTGGTGAGTAGTTCCTCACCTCTGTGACCCCGTGATCGAAGCGACACCGAGTCTGAGCCCTCTGCCACCCGCTGAGGGTCTCCGTGTAGAGTTCACAGGTCACCCCAAGTCGCCTCACCACCAGGTGAGTGAGTGGGTGAGTGGGTGGGTGGGTGGGTGAGTGAGTGGGTGGGTGAGTGGGTGGGTGGGTGAGTGGGTGGGTGAGTGGGTGAGTGAGTGGGTGAGTGGGTGGGTGAGTGGGTGGGTGGGTGTGTGGGTGAGTGGGTGAGTGAGTGGGTGGGTGAGTGAGTGACTGAGCGAGTGAGCGAGTGAGTGACTGACTAACTAACTGACTGACTGACTGAGTTGGTGAGTGAGTTGGTGAGTGAGTGGTTGAGTGGGTGGGTGAGTGGGTGAGTGAGTGGGTGGGTGGGTGGGTGAGTGGGTGAGTGAGTGAGTGAGTGGGTGAGTGGGTGGGTGGGTGGGTGAGTGGGTGGGTGGGTGGGTGGGTGAGTGAGTGAGTGAGTGACTGACTGACTGACTGACTGAGTGACTGACTGGGTGAGTTGGTGAGTGACTGAGTGAGTGACTGAGTGACTGACTGACTAAGTAACTGACTGAGTGACTGACTGACTGATTGACTGAATGACTGACTGAGTTGGTGAGTGAGTTGGTGACTGAGTTGGTGAGTGAGTTGGTGAGTGAGTTGGTGAGTAGTTGCTCACCTCTGTGACCCCGTGATCGAAGCGACACCGAGTCTGAGCCCTCTGCCACCCACTGAGAGTCTCCGTGTAGAGTTCACAGGTCACCCCAAGTCGCCTCACCACTAGGTGAGTGAGTGGGTGAGTGGGTGAGTGAGTGGGTGAGTGAGTGGGTGAGTGGGTGGGTGGGTGGGTTGGTGAGTGAGTGGGTGGGTGAGTGGGTGGGTGGGTGGGTGGGTGAGTGAGTGGGGTGGGTGAGTGGGTGAGTGAGTGGGTGGGTGAGTGAGTGAGTGAGTGGGTGAGTGGGTGGGTGAGTGGGTGGGTGAGTGGGTGAGTGGGTGGGTGGGTGAGTGGGTGACTGACTGAGTGAGTGACTGAGTGACTGAGTGACTGAGTGACTGAGCGAGTGAGTGACTGACTGACTGACTGAGTGAGTGACTGACTGAGTGACTGACTGAATGACTGACTGAGTGACTGAGTGACTGACTGAGTTGGTGAGTGAGTGAGTGAGTGGGTGAGTGAGTTGGTGAGTGAGTTGGTGAGTGAGTTGGTGAGTTGGTGAGTGAGTTGGTGAGTGAGTTGGTGAGTAGTTGCTCACCTCTGTGACCGTGATCG